TTTGTTAAAAGGAAATACTCAATTTGAAAAAGTATTTTACTTTTTAGAAAATATTTAATTTATTTGTTATTTTTAACCAGTGGCAAATGTTAATGCAAAAAGGCCAAAATCTCAGCCTTTTCTGGTTGAAGTCGATTTCTTTTTATTTTGTAGATACTACATATTCCCTACCTCAGAAAAAAGTCTCACACTATACACAGAGCTGGCGGGGCAGCAAAGGAAAAGTTTGGCTAAACGGGACATTTCTGAATATCTGGAAGAATTTTTGATATTTGAATTTGTCATCGGTTGAGACAAGCAATGCACAGTAATGCCCTTAAAGATTACAATAGTTTGTGTTTCACGTATACGCAAAGGTTTATTAAAAAAAAAGAGGTATTGTGAGTTGGTACCCATAAAATGAATTTTCTTGAAGAGCGTAGAGATTCCCCTGGAAGCCCTACAAAATTAAACTTCTTTAGATAAGGAGGAGTAGAAGGATGAAACTATAATATTAGTATAGTTGTAGCACGAATGGGTCGGCTCGACCGGGGAAGGGCCACACTATCATAGAATACCGACGTAAATTAACGCTTAACGCTGCTGTGTATCGTATGGTGAATGTAGAGAACCGGAGACCGTTTTTACTGGGCTGGCAATGCATCTGCATTTTGATTTTTAATTGAAGATAGATGTAGATGTCTATGGGCCACAGCAACCACTTACCATCTGTTGGAGTATATGCTCGTTTGTCACCCTTCTCCTATATAAAAAAACATACAAACATGATTAGCTTTGACAAGAATAAAGATGTTCAAACTTCAAACACTACGAACATACGTGAGCTTCTAATACCATCACCATCTGTATACGCTTTACAACAAAATCCAAGAAAATGTTTTAAGTTTATCAATAAAAAAAAATTTAAAGTATTATTAAACAAAAATTGCACAAAAGGGTTTGTAAAAATTTATTGTGAAGTTATATGTATAAAAAAATATAATCCTACTGAGTTTCTTGCTGATTCTTCCCAAGACAGAGTTATTTTCCGAACCAGTAGTAAGTGGTATAGTTGTAGCACGAATGGGTCGGCTCGAGCGGGGATGAACCACGCACTCGCAGAATACCAGCGTGAAATGGTAGCTTGATGCTGCTGTGTTTCGTATGATGAGTGTAGAAAACCGGAGATCCTTTTTTACTGGAAATGAGGCATTCCATCTTAGTTCTCACGGGTGACAACGCATCTGCATTTTGATTCGAAATCGAAGATAGATGTAGATATCTATCGGCCGCAGCAACCACTTACTTAAATAAAATAGGAATTGAAGTATAAATACAAGTATTAAGTATCGGGGTATAATCGATATTGAATAAAATTATTTTAATTTGTTCTATTATAGTCCTTACGGGACTAGATGTACAATGGGGGGTAGATGATAGATCTACCTATCATCAATTGAAGACGTGAGTGGATGAAGGTGATAACTCGCATTCTACTAATTTTGAGTAAATCAAGATTGAAGTTTCATTGTTGTTTTTTGAGATAAGTTGTTAGAAAATTGGTTTTTGATTTAAACTATAATGCAAAGTTGGGTAACAAACTCAAAAAATTAGGGTACGTGAGCAAATAAACACTTTTAATACTTTATGATTATGGTATACAATTTCGAAAAAAACTGAACTCTTTCTTTCACTAACATTTTGGCATTTTAGCTATTTCAAATTAGGTGTTAGATAACAATATGTACTTAAAGTATTACAAAAAGGTAAACATTACTTAAATATTCCTTAAAATATATTATAAATAAAAAAGTAAGCTAATAAAATAGAGATCAGTCTTGACAATAAAATAAAACGGATCAAAATAATACTATTTTTCAATTAAAATCGACTCAGAAGTACCGATATTCCAGCTTTACGTGCTTAAGTTGGTCTTGGAAATTTCTTTTTCCACTGATACGGTACCATATTTTTCGTCGGTACGGGGAATCTCCACAGAATAGCGCAACTGAGATCTTCTTTTTAAAATGTCCAACTTTTTGAAGGGTGTCATTTCATCGTATGTTTTTTATATAGATAGGAACCATATTCATCTACGCGTATCCATTTAATACCATCCCTAAAACTTACTTTGTCATTAACTATATTTACGCGAACATACACATTGAAATAATATATTTTTTTTTTATATTCATTTGAGTAGTCACTTTTAGAGGTAGCACATCTTATGTTTACATCCTTTTTTTCTGTTAAACAAATTAAGTTTTTCGTGTAACTCACCATTTTATGCAATAGAGCAGACGCAGTAGAAATGCGGTCGTTAAGGAGTATGTTACAGCCCTAATCTAAATCCTAATCTGAATGACAGGGTGAGAAATTGTGTGATAAGAGAAAAGTGTGGTTTGCAAGATGATGTTGTGACCAGGATTAAGAAAGGAATGCTTCGGTGGTTTGGTCATGTGGAAAGAATGAATGAGGAAAGAGTGACAAAGAGAATTTATGTTGCAGAAGTGAATGGCAGAGTCGGAAAGGGACGTCCTAGGCGAAAATTTATCGACCAAATTGGCGATTTATTGAAAACGGGCCAAATTAGGAGTACCCTTAACCGACGAGCATGTATGCGTAGGTGTATGGATGTGAAGGAGGCAAGAGAGGTGTGTCAGGATCGTGCCAAATGGAAGTCTGTAGTCTCTGCCTACCCCTCTGGGTGACAGGCGTGAGTGTTTATGTTTATGTTTTTTTCTATCCTACCGAAATCACAATCCGAGTATTAATAAGAATGGCCAACCTCAGGGAATTTGTGGTCCATTACTTTAAAATATCCTTTTAATATAAGTTATTGATACAGTGCAATCATGTTAAAGTTTTTGTTCTGTTCGGCACATGAATCCGACCAGATCAATAAATGATCTTTGTTTTCCAAAAATCTTAAAAGTGCGCTTCCAATTTCAACAATTCCGCGATCCGCTATTATAGGGTGACCGACAGCAGCTTCTAGTAATAATTTTGCCCTTGCTTTGCCTCCTGCCGTTGCTTTTCCACTTTGCCAATGTAAATTCACTATTATAAACATTGAAGTAATATGTACTTACGTACTAGAACAGCTATCTGAAACAAAAAATGTGCGCTACTCTGTGTTCGCGCGGTTGTTTTTTTATCATAGAATAAACATAGGTAGAATGACCCGTAGGCAATAGTAGATAGTATTGTATAATGTCCATGTCACACCGGTAGTTGTTAGGAGCACTAAGCTCGACGTTGTTGACGAGTACGTTTACCTGCGACAAATAGTCCGATTAGGTAAGTCCAACTTCGACCGAGAGGTCAATCGACGGATTCAACTCGGCTGGGCAGCGTTCGGGAAATTACTACACATCTTCTCGTCAGGTATGCCTCAAAACTTGAAAACTAAGTTGTACAACCAGTGCGTGTTGCCAGTGATTACCTACGGAACCGAGACGTAGTCCTTCACTGCTGGCCGTATGAGGACGCTCAAAGTCGCTCAGCGAACTATGGAGAGGGCTATGCTCGGAGTTTTTCTGCGTAATAAACTTAGAAATGAGGATATCTGCAGTAGAACCAGAGTGACCGACATAGCCCAAAGGATTACTAAGCTAAAGTGGCAATGGGCCGGCCATATAGATCGAAGAACTGACAACCGTTGGGGAAAAAAGATTCTCGAGTGGCAGCCTCGTACCAGTAGGCAGGTGTAGGGCGACCCCCCACTAGATGGAGTGACGACCTGGTAAGACATGCAGGAAGTCTACGGATGCAGGTGGCTCAGGACCGTGCTTTGTAGTATACCTTGGGTGAGGCCTATGTTCAGCAGTGGACTTGTGAAGGGCTGTAATGATGATGATGATTATGATTGTTAAATAGGTAAATTATATCGAGAACAATTTTTAAATTTTGTCTTTTATTTTGTATATTATATTTGCTTATTTAATATAATATTATATCACAATTACATTTTAATGATATTTTTATCTGAATATTTTAAAAGGTCAATGTCAAATATAAAAAACATACTAAATTTATGTTTAACAAAACTTATTAACATAACATTTAAATTACAAATATATTTATTTAAATTAGAGTCGTTCATAAATGCTGGGCACGCGAAAGTTAAAAATGGATGAATTAATACCACTTTGACTTTGATATGGAAACATAAAAATAAAATAAAAGTATAATAAGTAGATTCAAACATGAAAAATTTTGCCTGATTAAGTATAATAATTTATATATTTCTACGAAAAAAGTGTATAATAATATATTCGTCCTATACTCAAGTACCCACAGAAATGTCGCATCTGTACATATTAATTTCATAATCTGTATTCCATGACACGAGATGGCGTTTTAGGAATAATTTGTTTTATTATTAATCTATAGTACTTTTTTATTGATTAATTATCTTATTAACCGATGAAAAGTAATTCCTTGGTTTTTACTGACATTTCTTGAATTATTTGTGCAATATCTAAGTACACACGACGGCATATTTTTATCAAGAATTTTTTTTTAAATCAACACAACACGTGACAACTCTACAAGCGCCTAGCACGTGACTGATTAAAGTGCGGTGTATGCACCGCAGTTGAGTGGAACAGAGTAGCTGAACGCAGTGTCGCCTCTAGTACGTAGTACATAATAGCACAATGATTATAAATAATATTTTTGTATACAAGACACGCTACAATACGCACTCTGTTAGAAAGACAGAACGAAAATCAAAACAATTGACTGAAGTGAACTAATGAATATGATATGTTTGTTACATAAGCTATTTTTTTGAGTTTGAGTTGCTATTTTTCGTCCCTATCAAATCAACGGGCCGCACTTCGTTCGCTGCTGTATCGCCGGCGCAGTATAGCTGTACGTACCTATTATCCAAGATGATTACCTGCGTTGGTTGTTTAAACAAAATACACAATAACATCGGTCGCATCGATTGCGCGCGTTGTAAACAATGTTATCACAACCTATGCGTTAACATTTCTGACAAAAACCTTAAAAAGATGTCGGATACTCAAAAAGCTAGTTGGCAATGCCCCAATTGTCACAGTAAACAGCCTAGAGGCGACAACACAAATACGCCCGTCAAGCAGACGGCATCGTCATCGTCACCCACGACCGCCTCCAGTAACGTTATGACACGCAAAGCTACTAAAGTGGCAGGCAAGTCGCCCATCCCACAAGTACTAAGTAGCGGCGCACTTACATCGAGCGCAGAGATACGTGACATCATAAATGAAGCACTGAGGGAATGGGCCACCGGAATTTGTAGTCAACTAAATGAAATAAGAAGTGAGGTGGTCAGTTTTAAAGATTCAATGTCATTTTTTAATGAACAATTCGAGCAATTAAAAGCCGAGGTTAAAGCCCAAAACGGAGAGATTCGACGTCTCAGTGACGAAAATAATTCACTGCGAAGGGATGTCATTAATCTAACTACTCACTGCAATCAGTTCGACCAGATGTCTCGTGCCGTCAATTTAGAGCTCCAATGCGTTCCTGAGCACAAGAACGAAAACGTAACCAGGATAGTTCAACAGCTAGGTAAAATCGTCAGCTGTCCCTTCAATGAAACTGATATTTCCCACTGCACCAGAGTGGCCAAAATGAACCCAAAGAGCCCCAGACCACGTACCATTCTAGTTAGATTCACGAGCCCACGACTCAGAGATTCGGTCCTGGCAGCAACGATCAAGTATAATAAATGCAACCCAAACGATAAACTAAACTCGAGCCACCTGGGACTAAGTGACGAATCGAAAGCGCCAATTTACGTTGCTGAAAATTTGTCACCGGAAAACAAGGCCTTGCATGCGGCGACTCGTGCTCGCGCCAGGGAACTCGGCTATCAGTTTGTGTGGGTGCGCAGCGGACGCGTGTTCGTGCGGAAAGATGTCAGCTCGCCATCTAAAGTTATAAGAGACATAAGTTGTTTGAACTCTCTCTAGACTATCGTTTGTTCTGTGATTGCATGTTCTTTATTATCAACTTAACATTAAAATACAATTTAAAAATATATTATCAAAATGTAAGGGGCCTTAGAACTAAATGTGAGAATTTATATATTAATGCATTACAAAAATTTTACGACCTAATTGTTTTGACGATTATTACATTTTTGACCACGAACTCCTGGATGCTAGATACGATATTTTTAGGCGCGATCGGAGTTCCACTTTGTCTTCCCAAGCGAAAAAAGAAGGTGGTGGTATTTGTGTAGCTGTACTGAAAAAATATGGTATCTTAAATGATAATTATCGTATTTTGGACTTGGTGCTTGTGAATAATACTAATAACGTAAAGGTGGTCGAAGCTTCGATGCCCTTGGTTGGATTGGATTCTCATCATCCTGCCCTCGAAATACTCATTCACAGCCTGGGGAATATAAAACCATGCAGGTCCAAACGAGCAAATATTCCAAGTGCGACTTTGACACCATCAACGATGAACTCACGCATATAGTGTGGTCCGAAGTGTGGTCTGAGCTTTATGACATAGATTCTATAGTTGATAAGTTCTACGGCATAGTTTTGCCTATAATTAAGAAGCACACGCCATATCGAATACCACATTCAGAAAAATTTCTAGTGTGGTTCAGTACAGCCTTAATAAAATGCTTAAAAGAAAAAGCGAAGTATCACAAAAAATACAAGCATTATGGTAATCCCCTTGACAGATTAACATATGAACTTCTAAGAGACCGTTGCAATGCAATGATTAAAAGTTGTTTTTCTAGGTTTAAAAAAAACGCAGCTTCTCATTTACGCTCCAACCCTAAGTTCATCTGGTCTTATGTTAATGGTCTCAAAAGAAACACAAATTCCCTCCCTTCTCAGATGATTCGAGGTGCCAAGACTGCCAGAGGTGGCCAAGAGATTGTGACCTATTCTCAGAGCACTTTCAGTCAATATACGATGACATCATCAACCAATTTGACAACCAAGTCATCCAATGTCAATAATACAGCTCTCCACAGTTACGAGAACTGTCTGACCATCAGCTCACTCACTGTCTGCGAATACAAGGTAGAAAGAGCATTGATGGGATTGGATGGAAGCAAGACTTCAGGATTGGATGTCTTGCCCCCCGATCATTCTAAAGAAGTGTGCTAAAAGTATGTCAAAACCTCTTACCTATATATTTAACCACTCTATCCGAAACGGCATTTTCCCCCGCGTATGGAAAAAGGCGCGCATCATCCCCATCCATAAAAAAGGAGATCTCGCCGATGTGTCCAATTACAGGCCTGTTTCCATACTTCCAGCACCCGGTAAGGTTCTAGAGTCATTTGTTCATAAAACAATATATTGGCACGTCAAAGAGCGCCTGCATCCAAACCAACATGGGTTTCAGCCTAAAAAGTCTACAACATCTAACTTCGACTAAGTTAGATGTTGTAGACTGTTGTGTTGTTTTGTTAATGATATTGCATGTGCACTGGATAGGAAAAAAGAGGTACACAGTATTTACACCGATTTTAGCAAGGCTTTCGATCTCATCAACCATGACCTGCTTATAAAGAAGATCATGCTAATGGGGGTCCATGGTTCACTGCTGCGCTGGTGCGATTCCTATCTCAGAAATCGGTCACAGTTAGTCTCGTTGCGTGGTTATTCATCCTCAGCTAGAGAGATTCCTTCAGGCGTTCCCCAGGGCTCTCATATCGGTCCATTGTTCTTTCTTATTTTCATAAACGATCTAGCCAATATAATCGAATGTAATTTTAAAATGTACGCAGACGACCTTAAACTGTACAAAATCATTGACTCCAAACTAGATGTGACCGCTCTACAGTTAGAGTTGGATAGATTATACGACTGGTGTCGTCAAAACCATATGATCCTCAATACTGGAAAATTTTCTCATCTAAAGTTAACTAGAAAGAAAAATAAAACCGAGGCAGCATACAAGTTAAACGATGAGCCATTGGGTGAGGTCACGGAAATCCTAGACTTAGGCGTTTTAATTGACAGCACGCTCAGCTTTAGAAGTCATATCGACACAATAACAAAAAAAGCTTCTAAATTATCCGGGTTTATATCTAGGCAAATAAAATCTTTTAAAGACCCTGGTTTAATCATTCCAGTCTATAACTGTTTGGTGAGAACTATTGTTGAATACGCTAGCCCAGTCTGGAATCCGGGGTACAAGTGTCACTCAAACCGACTGGTAAAAGATTCAGAAAAGGTTTATGTACCAGTTATCGTATGCAAATAACCAATGCAGGACACTCATTTCATACGAGAGTAGATTAGCACACTACAAATTAGAACAACTATCCAAGCGGCGAGAATCATCTGATGTCTTGTTCCTCTATAAAATTATCCATGGTCTCGTCAACTGTCCGGACATTTTAAATCATTTAGATGTATCGGTCCCTAGAGCTGGCAGTCGTCTGGGCCGCAAAAAGACTTTTGTCACGCCACACTGTAAAACAGTGGCAGGTCATCACTCGCTATTATACAGAATGACTAATAGTTACAATAATATTCGTGATTTGTTCGACATCTTTCATGGTTCTATGGCCTCAGCAAGGGCTAACATTAGATTAGCCATTAATTAATTAATATTTATTATTTTAGAGTTTTTTCCTTTCTTTAGTTGTATTTGTTATCTCGTCCACTTGTTGCATGCCGTGTTCACTGTTATTAGAATGAACGTTTGTTTGTTACTTTTTTTCAAGTTACCTGAACCATGTACACGTTACATTCCATTTGTGAACCAAATAAAAAAAAATAACACCTTCATTCACGGAGAAGTGATGTTGTGTCATTCTACTATTGTTCGCTGAGTTGAAGAAAGTGTTATGTTCGTACATGTCACTTTCTTCCACGACAAAAAAACAAAACTTACTTTATTTATCAAGAAGGTAAGTGATATGGGCTCATACCTCTTTCATCCAGTACCATTTTCAAACTAAACTGAACATAACACCTTTATCAACTTTCTATTTTTGAAATACGTCTTAAATCGATAGTTTTATTGTCTAAAATCATTTTATAACGACATATCACCTTCATCTATGCAAAAAACACCAAAACCTAAAGAAGCGACATATCACCTTCATCCACTTATATCTTCAATTGGATTGTGTGCTTGTTTTGTACCCTTATTATATAAAAAGAATAAGTTTAAAAAGATGATTATAAACTAACACAAATTTTAAATATTTTTATCATAAAAATTGACTTCTTCGAAGAATAAAAATATTTAATGAAAAGAGTAGGTACTCACCATAGAAAACAATGTCTTATTCCGTGTTCTGTTATTATAATTTTGTTATAACATGAAACAACTAGTGATTAAAATATAATATTTATAATGTTGTATTAATAAAACACTACTCGTAAAGTTGTATTGTTCACAAACTTACTGAAAAGGATTAGGCCATAAGCTGATTGGAGTAAATAAACAAAGACATGTATTATTATTCAAGAGAGTACGTCTTCGAGAGGATTACAAAGGCCGGATTGTATTGTTCGTTACTCACTTTCGCTATTATGTAGTAACACCATATATTTAGGTTTTGGCGTTGGAATTAAAATATATCGAAGTTTACTACCTGCTCTTAGTTTTGACCACCTACAAAGGTTGGTTCTTGTACTCACAAACAGGACCCCTGTTTCTAGTCCTAACCTTTGTAGTCCTAATCTGTTTACGAATATGCCTAAATGTGTGCTAATACGATATGACATGATAGTATTTATTCAGTTCCCTGTGTGTATAAAGTCGGCAGAGAGTTGGACGGTTCGGCACTTGGAAAAGTTTTGGCTGTAGTTGCCTCGAGTTTAATTTCGTTACATAGAAATTTTGAAGTGTTTATTTAACGGAATTCAATTTTATTTCTTAGAACTTGTACAAAAATATGAGCTCGCAGAGGAGGAACCAGTGTACTGCAACTTAATAGTAAAATAAAACAACGATAATTATCGATAAATACTGTAGTTGTATATTTAAGACATATCCCACTATAGTTTGAAACAATATGGCTTTAGTATTATTCACCCATCCTCGTGGTGTTGCGTAACGATCTGCTGCCCCACAATTGGTTTATTGCTTTGTGTTACGCGCGACACACGGGTATGAAACCTAACGAACTGCGCTGATCTGATTTGAATCACAGCAAAAAACAAACTAGAAAATGACTTTCTTCACCTATGTTATGTGACAATATATAGAGTTATTTTTTATTTAGTAAACATGCAGATTATAATTGCAATGAAGAATGATCCATCTGTAGGTATAACCCACACTTAGCCTCCAAATGTTTGAATTATGCAAATAAAATGTATAGAATTTCATTTCCTATTAAAGAGGAAATTAAGTTGTTTATTACATTTATTATTATCATAATAAAATCTATAGTTATTCAACGTAATGTACCCTTTATACAGTCTCGATAATCAGTTATCTATAAATATTTAGTAATAATTGTGACATAATATATTATAATCATTATCATCATTATTACAGCACATGAAAAAAATATTCAAAGTTGGTTGCATTTATTCTTGGAGTAGCCTTCAACAATCAGATGGCACGTTCCTAATGTGAATGTCATAAAAATTTTATAAAATTATTTGTCTATTAATTGTCCATTGTTATAGCTCGTGAATAACTTGAATAAACAATGCACGATTGATGCAGTCCTAAATATTTAACGGCACTCTGCTTAGAAGTGAGACACGTACATCCTCCTCAAGGGTAAACAAGTTCTCTGACTCTTGTTTTATTGTGTGTAGGCACTGACGAAACATGCTGGGAATTCGGGAATGGATGATAAAGTGCTGATTTTACGTCCAAGTATTAGGTGATTGGTATTCAAGATTTTTAAATAATATTAGTGTGTCACTATTACAAGGTAGCTTTTTAACTAACAAACTTCAGAAAATCCACTGATGCCATCCATTCCCTCTGAATGCTTGGCGGTCCACCAATGTGTCATTTACTATAATTCAACGTACGATTTCTTTGTATGGCCAACGGCGATTTTTCTGGAATGGTACAAGTTAGGAAACTTCAGGCATCGAGGTTACTCATTTTTATAAATACCATAAATGACCGCAAATCTGGTGTTGCAGTTGACCATGGGCAGCGGCAGACACTTACCATCACACGAGCCGCATGCATAAAAATATTATTAAACCTCAAGACTTAAATAATTAAAAAGACTATTTTTAAATAGAATAAGGGTAACAAACGAGCGTACATTCCACCTGATGGTAAGTGGATGCTATGACTTCGTCGACATATACATTTATCCTCGATTAGGAATCAAAATGCAGATGCGTTGTCACCCCTGAGGACTAAGATGGAATATCTCGTTTCCAGTAAAAAGGTGTCTCCAGATCTCTATGAAATGAGGATATCCGCAGTAAAACCAGAGTGATCGACATAGCCCAACGGATTAGTAAGCTGAAGTGGCAATGGGCCGGCCATATAGCTCGAAGAACCGATAACCGATGGGGAAGAAAGGTTCTCGAGTGGCAGCCTCGTACCGGTAGGCGTAGTGTAGGGCGACCCCCCACTAGATGGAGTGACGACCTGGTAAGACATGCAGGAAGTCGATGGATGCAGGTGGCTCAGGACCGTGCTTTGTGGCATTACTTGGGGGAGGCCTATGTTCAGCAGTGGACTTGTGAAGGGCTGTAATGATGATGATGATGATGAGATCTCTATACTCACCATACGAAACACAGCAGTGTTAAGGTGCTATTTTACACTGGTATTCTGTGAGAGCGTGGTCCTTCCCCATTTGAGCTGACCCATTCGTACTACAACCATAATATAGCTGCAGCGTGGCTCTACCACGTATAAAAACTAGAATAAAAGCCTAACGGTGAATGATTATTATGCTTTTGTTATCGGTTTGTGTATTTATTCACAAGTCGAGAGGTGCAATAATCTAATTCAGTTTAAGGAGTTAGGACCTTACGAAAATCGCAGAACAAATGTTATTATAAATTTCGGTATTAATTTACTTACGAAATGTTATATAACACAAAATGCATTCTGAAAACGTTTATTTTAATTAGTATACTTCGTGAGAAAATAAATTTGTTTAGTAGTTTCCGGCATTATTTCCCTACAGCAGCTATTAACTAAGCTCTCAAACAGAAGCAATTTTAACGTTATTCAGACTGTAAAAAATTCAAATGTATTCTTGATTTTGAATGCAATATGGTCAACAATACAACCTCTTCAATGAGCTAATTTTATACAATGTTAAGAGCAGAATTATATATACGTATATATAAGTATCACCACTTACCCCAAGTATAGAATAGTTTTGATCCTTTTATATTCATTGTAATTTGTTGTTTTTTTTTTCAATGTAATTTGTTGTTAAATTGTTGCGTGGTAGAGCCATGCTGCAGTTATATTAGATGTATAGTTGTAGCACGAATGGGTCGGCTCGACCGGGGAAGGACCACGCTCTCACAGAATACCAGCGTGAAATAGTAGCTTCATGCTGCTGTATTTCGTATGGTGAGTGTAGAGAACCGGCGACCCATTTTACTGGAAACGAGGCATTCCATCTTAGTCCTCACGGGTGACAACACATCTGCATTTTGATTCGTAATCGAGGATAGATGTAGATGTCTATGGGCCACAGCAACCACTTACCATCAGGTGGACTGTGTGCTCGATTGTCACCCTATCTTATAAAAAAAAAAATGCAAATCTACATAGTGGTTTGCATTTTCATAGTTGTAGCTTTTCCCACTTATTTCTTAAAATTAAATATGTGTTTAGATCTGATTGGGTATGGCAGTATTAGTTTTCTTCAAGATACCACAGCTACGAAATATGTTAATTGTAACATTCAATGCTGATTTGCCATGTGCTCGCTGAAACTGGTGTCTAAAAACTATTGTCTAAAAAATCAAAATTATTAAAATATTGAAAGTTCACCAATACGCAATTTCCTTTTTTAATTCGCGAACAAAGTATTGTGTAGCCAAAAAGTAAAATTATTTTAAATTTAGTATTATTTTGTTTACAGGTAGCAAAACGACATACAGAATAAAGAAATGTCGACCAAAAACCCTTTTACAGTAAGAACTTATGAAACCCCAGTATCTTTTTAAATCTGCCATGACATCCGAAGAACCAATCGATGTGGTCACCAAATCCGAGAAAAAGACCGGAACGAATTTCCCGAGCGAGAACTCGGATAACAACAAAGCGGGAAAACTCGCGGATGGACAAAAAAAACGCTCACAAGAGTTAATGCGACTTGTATATGAGTTACCCGAAGATTTAAATAAAACGGATCTAAACGTAAACAACAATATGTTAAAAGAGAACCCACCGATTACAATAGTTGAAATAACGGAACAGAATGGTTGTGAAACAGACTTAGGGAGTGCAAGACGATGTGATAGTAATAACTTTGTATTCGACGTGATCGCTGCAAACGAAATAATAATGCAATGCCCGGACGAATTAAAGGAAGTCATTAATCGATCTTCACCTGAAGATTGCACTGATGAAGATTTAGGGGAATTGAAGAAAATATTGGAAAACAAGCCAAAAGTTTTAGAGAGGTATTTACGGGAGTGTGCAACGTCTGATGAAATATCTCGAATTCATAATTTAACGTCAGGCGGCCCGTTGTCTCCAAGACCGCGTCATGAAGCACGGAGTACGTCAGTGACATCAGACCTGTTCCAACTGTGGCTGTCATCATCTCCAGTTAAGGTGAGTGTTAATATATACTAAGGAATTATGTGGGCTCCAGCCAAAGGTTGAAAAAAAAAAAGAAGTTTTTATTGAATATATATTTTATTTACCATAATTATTACAATTAATTATTAAAAAGTCACCTTGACTCTAATTTGATGTCAGAATGTAGAATCTGTTCACACAAATAAATATTAGAAATAAGTAACATAAGGTAGGAAACACGTTATGCTGACGCGATGTCTCGTGATTGTCGTAAGCCGATGCATGGCCAAGCCAATAACAAACCGATGATTAGGGTTGCTTAACACTTCCCCCGAAGAACAGCGACTATATGACCTTGGTCATGAATAGAGCTGGGAGTTGATTGGGGTCTACCTTCTCAATGTCTGAAACAGCATAAACCCTTAATGATTTAGAATGATCATCTTTTGTATTTCTTTGCGTACTTCCAGTTGGCTTCCGCTTATATTTTATATATAGTATGCATACTGCCTCATTGGTCTAGTGGTTGTAGTAGTGCGACTGCTGATCATAAGGTCCTGGGTTTGAATCCCGGGTCGGGCCAAAAATTTAATTATTGAGTATTTCCGTCGAGAAATCCTCAGTAGTTGCCCGGAGTCAGGAAGTTGGAGGTGTCTCACCCCCGTGCCTCTGAAAGCACGTAAAGCTGTTGGTACTGCGCCTGATCTCTTTCCGGTCGTGTCGGTTTACCGTCCCATCGTATTATGAGAGTGAGGGAATAGTGAGTACTCCTGTACTGTAATAACCCTGTACTGCGCCGATGGCTAGTCTCCGTTGAGCGTTGAGGCAGGCTGCCGTGGCCGTAATTCGGTCTGGAGGACATTATAGTATGCATACAATTAGTACTCTTACACATATTATTAATACGTAAAATGGTATTGCAGTATGATAAAGACTGTAGTCATCATTGTTCCTTAGATTTACTGGCGATTCATGGGTTATTTTGGTGTTCGGTGCATGAAGGAAAATGAAGGTCTATTGAATTTAGTTTACACAGGAGTTATGTATGGGATGCTGATGTTTTCTTCAGGTATACCCATTTTCTTTAAGGCTTGTCCCTTCAATCGATCATAAGTGTTTGAGATCGAGAATAGCGGCGTTTTTACGTTGCATTTAAGAGGGATAATAGAATAACTAATAAAAAAAATTAGAATAATACAAATAAACAAGATAACTTATTTGAAGTATTATAGAGGAGTCTTGTCCACAGGATAGATGTACTTTCGTTGATGTAAGTTACGCGGTGGTGTAATGCTTGGTATCCAGTTCATCGGGTTATATACATTCGTCTGCTGATTTGTGATGAGGTGATGTATACAATCATGGGACGTTTGACTACTTAGGCTTCACTTTTTCTTACAGATGTACCATTAACGCTATGTACTAAAATCTTTCTAATAAATGGCTAGGAATGAAAGAGGTGGTGTAAGAATTTCGTGTTTCTTGTTATGGATAATAGATAACTTATACATATTTATGGGGTAATAGAATTGGGTACTTATATACAATTAATGTTACATTTCCCACATAATATGAACCTAATTTAATAATGTCATATGTATTCTCTTATATCTAAATTTCTATCCTTTTTACGGCCATAAAGATCGGTTACCCTATTAATCATAATACTGATACTCTGATATGGAAGAGGGCCATTAGAGCAATATATAATTTAAACCAAAAGAGTCACTGAGACAAAAATTTAAGGAAATTAATATATTAACTCTGGCCTCTCAATACCTTTATGAAAATATGATGTACGTACACAAAAATTTAAGTAGTTTTGCAAAAATAAGTGATATTCATTCTGATACTAGAAACAGTTATTCGACTCCACCGAGTCAGTAATTCATTCTTGGGGCGATGTATACGCTTTTAAAATAAAATCCCAGTAAATACACAAATTTTGTCATACACAAATTTCAAAACTGTTATTAAACTAAGTTTGTATAAAAAGGGTTATTATAATATTAAGGAATTTGTGGATGATACCCCTGGGAAGGGTGATCGCTGTCAAGCTATTTAATACTGATAGATTGAATAAAAATACAATGAAATACTTGATAGATTCTAAATTAACTATAGAGTGGTGCATGGTATTAACTTATAAAGGCTAAATTATTTTGTAATTTAATTAATTCCTTTGAGATTTATTAACGTTATCACTAAGAATCATAAGTACTTGTCTGAAATGTGCATATTTAACTAAGTCATGCTCTCTGGTACCCTCGAATTATTTTATTTTAAATATCAATATTTTCATTTTATTTTGATTATCTACAGTGCTTACACGATTACCAGAAAAAGTATTTATGAGGGAACCAAGACCATCTACGAGTCTCCTTTTCTCACTGTTTGTCTTAAAGCTTTTTAACGGTATGGTGACGCTTTCAAGCTTATTTTTAAAATAACCAATAGAGTTGGACCGATCAGTACTTTGGCTGATTTGCCGATTGGCCGATTAATCGGCCATTTCTTAACTAATCTTTATTCAAGAATTAACTGTTTTATTTTTGTTATGCATAGGGAGAGACTTAATTTTTTTTTAAGTTTATTAAGAATAACATTATTAATATTTTTTTTCTGTTACTACTCTGCATTACGAATAGAAAAAGTTAAAAAGTAGAATTAAAATAGTAAGTACTCAAGTTTTTGTTTGGTTTTAAATAGGTACCTCAATTTTTTTTAACATTAACACATGTGAGAGCGATTTTTCGATAAAAGTTATGTATGAACCTACTTATTTCATTATTTATTTGATTTACCTACATGTAAATCTGATGTGAGTTTACGCATGAGAGAGAAACTATACTTTTCTTAAATTTAAAGCTTTACTCATACCATTACCACGCAGAAAATCACGAAAAACCTTTGCTGAAATTATTAAATAAAAAGCCGATTAATCGGCGGTTTTAGACGATTAATCGCCGACTAATCGGTGACTACAAATAGGCCGATTAATCGGCTTCACCGATTAGTCGGCGGCTAATCGGCCCAACTCTAATAATCAATATGAGGCTGAAATAGGGAGTTAGTTACTAATGACCTGTATTTTAATATCTTCTAATTCTTCAAAATATGCAATATTACAGAAATTCATGGTAGTAGGATAGGATTTATTATGGATATATTACCGAAACTACTTAGGACTAATGCAGGAGGCATTAGAGCTGTTCGAAGAAGAAGATGAAGTACCAAGAGAGTCCTGTAACTATTGGTTAATTTTAGGTACTCTCTTCAATCGGGTTTTTGCTTTGGGGTATCGTTTTTTCTTTGTATAAATGAGAATTGGGAGTGCTCTAATCCTATGTTTGATCTTATTGGTGAATGTTAAAGGTTCTCCATTTAGATTTTATTTATTTATTTATTACACAGTTATAACATCAGTACAGTTATTAAACCAAGGCGATGCTATAACTAACTTAAACATAAAAAACTACTGACTAATAATTAATGATATCTAGTATGAAATCTATCAAATTGATGGTAAAATAAAATACTTTACACTCTTACTTTACACTCAAAAAACATTACACTTTTCAACGCATTTGTATGCTGCAATTATGAATTTCGTCTCACTACATGCAAATATGTCAAATTCCTGTGAGGTGATATTAACATAGTGTATAGCACGTGACAATGGTGCATTCTGAAGCAACTTCGTCCTAGCAGCGGGCACGAGGGGTAACGGGGCACGACGACGGAAATACACGTAATTATTAGGCACCCGCAGCTTTAAGGCAGCCAGCACATCTGGGTGATATATCCATCAACGTAATACTTTCCACACATATTTAATAAGCGTGATGACTCTACTCACACTCAGGCGGCTGTAACCAACCATCCCCAGTACAAACAGACTCGGATATATCAGTGGAATACAAGGATAGATTCCGTACTGCTTAAAGTATGAAAATCGTGTGAATTTATAATAAAATATAAATATAATTTTTTCGACCATGACACTATACTTGCTTTCATATGGACTCCAAATACTGCGTTCCTTTCAAGTTGACTTCTTACGAGGGCATTATATAGATAAAAACACGTCGGCATATGAGGAACATAGCCGTTGTAGTTTTTTCAGCTCCTCATGCTTTAGATGATCGGTGCGAAGACGAGACAAAACGTTTTTAGTGCGATCCGATAACGCTTTAGTAAACTGGCACTTTACATTAAATATTTCGGCATCTACCGGGCGGTCCATTGAAAATATCACATTATTTGAACTGTTATTAGTAATTTCAATTTAACCACGATTATTAATTACTTTTGTTAAACAATAAGAAATTATGTAGTCACAAGTTATTTGATGTTCAACTACTATGTCACCGTCCTTTAAATTTATAGACAACCTAACTTTGATGACTGAGCGGGGATAATTTCTTCATATAAATTAGCGTTACGTGAATCATACATTTTGATAGGAATTTTTGCATTACGAGTAATAAGTAATTTATTCCGAAGATCAATGCTAGAACCCCATATGTCAAGCAAATAAAAACCTATCAGTCCATCAAAGTATAATATAAATGAACAAAGTTATATAACCTTGTTCATTAAAAGAGTTATGGAATAATCATTCTTACTTTTCACATGAATATCGAATTGGTCGTAATTTGTTAGAATGTGGCTAAAATATTTTCTTACGGCTTCGGAACTAACAAATAATTAATTGGCGCCGTTGTCTATCAAGAGTTTCAACGAGAGATTACTTGTTTGAATGTAACAGAGTTGCCTTTAAATGTGTAAATTTATTTCTATATTGATTTTTCTGATTGGGAACACCTCTGAAAATCCTCATTTTTAGTCGGAGTGAAACTAGAATCTATAAGATATTGTTTGTAAATATACATAATATTATAGGCAGATTATAATTATAGGCAGGATAGTCATATTCATAGTACGCGTCGGTGTTATAGTCGTAGTGAGAACCTGTCTCGTTAAAGTTTACCTCACGTGTTATAAAGTAGTTGCTCGGTGGTGGGTTGCCG